TTGTTCTGTTTCTGTTAATGGCTATAGGTGTACAAATCGTTAATGCTAAAAAATGTACAAATGATTATGTTTCTTCAGTTGATGGTGGTATCAATAGTTCATCTGATGATGACTTTTAAATAAAGTCGAAAATTCATGAATTACTATAATAGATGTATTTTTCATCATTTTAATAAATGTGAAATACATTATGTTGTTACACTCTCACATTGTACCGCATCTAATAATTATTTGTTTTGAAGACAATCAATGATTATATTTTTAAAAAGGTGAAGAACAATAATGCATCTTCGTCGAAGAAGTAGATAGATAAGTTATAAAAACTCTTTGAGAAAAAAAACAAATAAATGAATATTGTAGAAAGACAAGTTTGCGGAAAAAAAGTAAATGCATCTTTCAAATATCTAGATAAATAAAATAAAACCGAAGGATGAAATAAGAAAAAGGATGGGTGTGGCTTTGAGTGTAGGTTTTTGAAAATAGTATTCATACACAGACCTACACCGGCACCCATTCTCAAGTACAGTTTCTCTGCAGCGGTCTTTGATGGCCTCTGGGGTTCTCTCTCGCGGTCTGTGCTGGTCTCCGGGGTTCTCTATCACGGTCTGTACTGGTCTTTGGGGTTCTCTGTCACGGTCTGTGATAGTTTCTAGGGGTTCAATATCACGATTTTTGATGATCTCTGGAGTTCTTCGTCAGAATCTGTGTCGGTTTCTAGGGATCTCTGTTACTGTTTATGATGGAACTGGAGGTTCTCCGGTACGATCTGCGATGGATCTGGAATTACTCTGACACGATCTGTGATGGGTTCGGAGGTCTTCTGTCAAGGTCTGTGATGCTCTCTCACGATTCTCTGTCACAGTCTGCGGGAGGAAGAAGTGGTTCTAAAATTTCTATCCTATGCAAGTCAACACTCCTTTCAGATCGTTCTTCACAAAAGTTATAGAAAACTAAGTACATATAATTAAAAAAACTATCTGCATTTCAGTGAAGTCACTGAGAACCATTCGTCAGTGATCAGTGACGCAGTGGTCATCAGTGTTCCAGTGACTGGGTGTCAGTGCTTTCAATTCTTTTGGTAATCAGTGTCAGTGGACTTATGGGTGTTCAGTGAGTATCACTGTGGGTATCAGTCGCTATTCAGTTTTCTCACACCGCCCATCCCTAGTTGTACATAGAAAAAGGACTTTACACTTTACTTTTTATTTAATACTGTACTAAGAAAATTTGTACTCGTACTCGAAGGGTTAGTACTCGTACTGATACTCGTACTCTGGGGGTTGATACTCGAGAAAGTGCGTACTTCGCCAGCTCTGATTGTGTTGATTGTATTGAGGAGTTAATGTGAATGTACCACTAAAATCAGTATTCAGCACATGAATCCATTCATAAAGTTTATTTCCTTTCTTAATACCATATTTCTTCCGTAATCGTTTCGCAATAATAACTCGTTGAATTTTTTGATTGGTAGTTAATTTTTGAACTGTTTTTCGTTCCCACCATTTTAATTTTAATAAATTTTTTACTCTCCATACTGAACTTTTTGATGCTTTATAACCTTGTTTTTGAAGCTTTGCAATGACATTTCTGATGGATGCATTTTTTTTAATCGAATAGCTTCTTTTACAGTTTGAATATATTTGATTGTTGTTGTTGTACTGGGTGCACCTGATCTTGGTAAATCATTTACTTGGTTTCGCTTCAATATTCTCCAAACTTTGATCCTTAAAGGATTTGTTGTTGTATCACAAGGTGGATTTTCAGATTGAAGAAGAAATGTTGTTATATCTTTCACTTTCCATGATGAATGTATTTTTTTTAAATATAATACGAAAGAACGAAATTCTTTTTTCTCTTTAGAAGATGGTCGATATGACATTCTGAGTTGATCTCGTTGTAATGAACTAGTGTTGTCCTTTATATATCTCTGTTATGGACATGTGCAGAAAAGAAAATATGTCCGCGAAAGAAAAATTTTCTGTTCCGACACGTGTTGACTAAAGAAGAGACTTTGGTAATAACATTTCCTCTACCATCTTTATATCGAATTTTCGCTACTGAAAAATTGAAAAAATAGTGCATGACAATGTTTTTAGTGGTTCTCATTCCTTAGTAAAAGCTATAGACCTCACATTTTATAGTTATGTCGTACTTGATAGGTATAATAATCTGCCAAAGTTTCAAGAAGTTTGCCTTTTGTTGAACGCGAGAACGATGAATTTCAAAATTGTAACAGAACTTCTGGGACACCCTTTATACCTCGAATATCTCAATCGACCCTCCTCGAAAAAAAAGTAACAAATAAAATCAATAAACTTACTTTCACATCATTATTGCGAACCCATCCACAGCAAACAAATAATCAGTAATTAAGGCCAATAAAGCAGCATCACAATCAAGAGCTCATTCAAATCTGAAATACAAAAAGATTAATTTATAGAAAGAAATAAACTAACTCCTAAATGGGAAAATAGTATCGATCTGCGACAGAAATAAGACGATATACTTAAACAGTAAACTTACATTTAAGTATCGATTGAAAATCAATCCGCGCCGAAGAGAAAAACAAGCATTAATCAAATAAATTTGCCGCTAAATCAGAAATTGGAATCAATCTACAACATAAAAACAAAACTTTCAAATACACAAATAAAACTTACTTTCAAATAAGCAGCCATGATCAACCTAAACATAAAAGCCCATTAATAAATATGCTATCCTAACGTACCAAACTGCATGTACCATTAGTCACACCATGCACGATCTAATTGATCTTTCTTCGCATAACTATCCTCGACCTTGTCAAAACTCGTCGTTAGAATTATCGATACACTAATTGCTGGTGGTTGTTATAGATAACGATCATCTCCTCAATACTGGTCCTCCGTAATGTAGATAGTTCTCGTAGTGCTGGTTCCTATAGGTTTTGCTCATATACTCAATGGTGGTCCACAATAATATAGGTGATTTCCCTAGTGGCAGTCTTCATAGATACCCAGATCGACCTTTACGAGAACCAAAAACAGCCATATCTAGGCCGTATTTCCATGGACCGTATTACGACCGTACTTCGCCGTGCGGTATATAGACGTATACGCCACTATAGCACACCAATCAGGTACCAATCTTGGGTGTGGGTGTGAGTATTTTTCTTTTCTTAATCCACACCCACACCCAAGAGGGCTTTTCCTCCTTATTGTAAGGTGAAATAGCAGTCATGTTCAAGTCGATTCTAGAGTTTTTGGGAATGTCCTATCGAATGATGGGTATATACGTCGGTCTCCGCTTTGCTCATAAGTGATGGACTAGAATACCAAGCTAAAACAAGGGATAGCTTTTGAAAGTATTTACGTCGCGCCATTGTCTATGATGTTAGAAAGAAACCATTAATTTACTGGTATATACATGTGTTTATGACTCGAAACGAAATGCTGAATGATTAGTAACGTTGTGTAGAATTCGATTGGATCATTTTTGACCAATCAGATTTCACAAGGACTTTTCTTATTTATTCTAAGGACAAGCACTAGCCATATTCGGGCCGATTTTAGGGATATTTGGGACACTCTATCGAATGATTGGAATATGTGCAGGTCTCCTCCTTGTGTTTCATCGAGAGACGCAGCATCGCGTTTTGATTAAGCAGTTAAACAGACCAATCAGATTCCAGTACCGCTTTTCTTCCTTATTGTGTGGACAAGTACTAATCATGTTCGGTCCGATTCTAGGGTTATTGGGTACGTTCTATCGAATGATGGGTATATGTGTGGGTCTCTGCTTCGCTCATAAGTAATGAAATAGAATACCAAGCAGAAATGAGGGATAACTTTGGAAAGTATTTACGTCACGCATTGTCTATGGTATTAGAGAGAGGTCATAAGTTTACTGATTTATATATATATATATATATGTATGTGGGACGAATCAAAAGGTGAACGATTAGTGCCGCTATGTGGAATTCAATTGGATCATTTTCAACCAATCGGATTTCAGGAAGGCCTTTCTTTCTTATTATAAGGACAAGTACTAACCATATTCAGCCGATCCTAGGGTTATTGGGGACGCTCTATCGAATGATGGGTGTATGCGTGGATCCTCGCATTACCCTTCATGGAGAAATTGAATATGATGTTTTGCTTGGCCAGTTAAATAGACGAACCAGATCCCAGTAGGGTTTTTCTTCTTTATTGTAAGTACAGGTACTTGTCACGTTCCGACCGATCCTAGTGTTAGTGGAGACGCTTCATTGAATGATGCGTATGCATGTGAGTCTCCGGCTTAGAGCTTACCAAAAAGAGCCGCTATGGCTGAATTGTTAAGATATTCGAATCATATCTACAAGATAGTGTGTTCGAACCTCGACGCCATGATTCATAGAATGACCTTGGACAAATCACTAACAGCTGTTTTGTCTCAGACCACCCATCCGATTCCACGCTGACTACGTTGTTGACATACACAAAAAGCCTCTATGGCTCATATGTGGTTAGTCAGCATACATGGGAAACATAAGCGATTAAGCGAGAAGAACTCTGAGTCAGGCCGGCGTACTCTCCAGAGCTGCAGTTAGTACTATTTGCAAGAAAAATATCGGGCTTTCGAAACCGACCTTGGGCAGCACCCCATACTGGAAGGTAGCCGGAAGGCAGGGATATTCTTCTTCTTCTACTTCTTACCAAGAAATATAATTCGATGATTCGATCGGTCAAATGAAGTTGAGCGATGAAATTGCAGGAGTCGTTTTCTTCCTCATTTCGAGACTATGTTGGTGTTACGTTTTAGTCATTTCTGGAGTCTCGGAGATGCTCTTCTAAAGGGCCTACATATCGGAGTGCTCGGGTCTTCTTATAATTGTGAAGTGCTATCTATCCATCTGATTTGTGAGTGGAGATGGATCGATAATCTAGTACACCATTTTCACTTAGCTAATAGTCGGAAAGAATAACTGTTTTGTTAGATCGTTTTGGGATAGATGTATTATTAGTTAAACGGTTGTTGACAATCGGTGGATGCGTTCTTCGGTAACATGTAGCGTGTACAGTACACTACGATGGTCTATAGTATGCTTGTTTCCAGTCCCCATGTTGCGACCATGCTTGTCAACGATTATTGCTCATAATCATTGTTTCCGATCGTTGTAATGAGACGTAACCTGTCATTACTTATTGGCAGAAGGAAGTGCCGTAAACTGCTCATGAATACGTCGTCTTACGTTGGCTCACAAGGTGCCTATACGGATGCCGTGCCGTTACATTAGCTGTTTGCGACCGACTTTTACGGGTGTCATGTACACTGACTGTAATATTCTGGGAGGCATCGTTCAGAGTTGTTGTTAAAGTCTGGCGGAAACGGTCACTCTTATCCGCCATAATTAGTTAGCATATGGCTGTGTACAGCCGAGCATAATTGACCTTGGTATTGACCATTTACTTAATGTTGGCCCTTGATGATAGAGATGACTTACCTATTGCTGGTCCCTATACATATTAATCATCTGCTGCATGGTTAGGGTTGCACCGGTTCCGGTTTTAACCGATACCGGTTCCGGTTTTAGAACCGAAACCGATGGAACCGATTGGAACCGGAACCGGAACCGATAAGAACCGT